CCTAGTCCCCCAGGAGTGAACTGTGGGAGCCTTCTCCTCTGCATCTCTGCCCTGTTCACTCCCAGCCCTGGAGGGAGGTGCCGGGTAAACCACTCAGAGTAGTGGACATGTCCCGCTGCCAGCTCGATCCTTTTCTCCATTTCTGTGTTTCTTGTCACCCGCCGTGTCTTCAGTGCTTTCTCAGGTGGGTGGAGGTGTGTGTTTGTGAGGGGATTCGTTCTCTATTCTCCCTGGGTAGAGAGCTAAGGTGTCTGGAAGTCCAACATGGATGGGAGGTGGTGGGGGGATTACAAGGATAGGCAGGAGACTGGAAGAGGACCAGCAAGAAGCGATTGGGGCTCTAGGCAATGTAAGAGTGGGACATGGAGCTTCTCTGTTCAGCCTGTCAAAGTATAATTTTCAAAAAAAATTAAAAACATGATTCATACAAATTAGAATGAATAAGATTCAAAGATTTAATTCGACTAGGCAACCATGAATGGTTGAGGAGCTAGGTATTTATAGGCAATTTTATAAAGAAATGTACCTACAATTGCCAGGTTAGATACAAAGCTAGTTAATGTCCTACAGAATAAGCTATAACTTTTCAAGTTATCTTTTTATATATATATTTTTTTCCCTGAACAGAAAATTAAATATCCTTGAAATATCAAGCAGTTGTCTCCTTGCCTTTATCAATTTGGGATAATTTTTCTTAACAAGGCTGTCTTCAGGCAATCAAATGGATCTTTTTTCCAGGTTCCTCCTCACTTTTTCTCTCAAACCCCCACGTCCTTATTCCTCACATGGACCTGCTGTACAATCCCACTCCATTTCTTAAACAACAGATGGATATGCGTCCTTCCAGACCTTTTTCTTGGCATTGGTATTGATTTACACACTTAGCTTATTTTTCTAAATATAAGAGGGCTCATACTAGGCATCACTGTGTGCTTTGTTTTCCACTTGTGGAAACAATACGCTGTGGATGTTTTTTCCAAGTCGGCAATTATAGATTGACTTCATTAATGGCTACATTATTTTTCACAGTAGGACTATATCCTAATTTAAGGTTTCCTTTCTGATGGACATTCAAGTTAAAATTGTTTTTTTCTATTACGATATTGCATAGAACATCATTATAAACCTTTCTTTGGGCAAATGTGGAAATTTGCAGTTGGATACCTTCTTATATGTGGTTTACTGGATTACTTTTTTTTTTTTTTTTAATTTGGATTGAGACTACCAAAGAGTTCTCCTTCTAAGCAAGGGCAGTTTAACACCCTTGACAATTCTGAATACACTTCTCTAATGACTAGTGAAGTTAAATATCTTTTTACATGTTTATTAGACATTTAGGTTTATTTTATGACCTGTCTTTTTTGAATTTCATGTTATATTCTTTGCCCTCTTTTCTTCTAGATTATTAATTTGTAGACGCCTTTTATATATTTCAGATATTTACTGTTTGTTGCCATTGTTTCTTTCACTGGTTGCTTGCCTTTCATTTTCATGTTTGTAACACCTGGCTCGGCATTGTCTCATCAACCCTTCAGCAAAAGGAGTTCATCGTCCTAATAGTTCATTGTGCTAATGTGTTAGCATCTCGTATCTCTGTTTCTATCCTTTTTGCTGCTACCTACCCATACCCTAGTCCTCCTCTTTCTTTGGTGACTCACTCCACCTTGTTCTGGAACATTAGACAGGGAGTGGCAGTAAGCTGGGGTCCTGCTTACCTTCCACCTTCCACTCTACACTCCTTCCTCTCTTCTCTTTCTATGACTCTCTCATTCCCCAACTGAAATACCTGGGTTAGTAGAGGCAGAAGTCTGGGGTGGTGAAGAGAGAGCTGGTTTTCCCTCTCTGGCCAGCTCACCCAACTAGAGCAAAGGTCGCCACAGCACGACTTTGGGTCCTGGATGCTCAAAACTTCATTGTCCATGAGGAAGTTCCCACCCTGGGCCAAAGGGACCACCATCCTGAAGAGTTAATTGAGTGTCTCTAGAGGTGAATGTTACCTGTAACAATCTTCTCTTTTTATGGCTGGAAGGCCAAGAACCCAAAGACGAGAAGTGTGTGTGTGTGTGGGAGGGGGAGAGGGGGATCGAGAGAGAGAGAGAGAGAGAGAGAGAGAGAGAGAGAGAGAGAGAGAGAAATCAGAGGAACTCACGGAGCCTGGGCATCAGAGGTGGTGGAGGCTTCCCCAAGGAAGTTTGGGGACTGACTGCTGTGATTTCCACTATTGCACTGCCTTGGGTTCTCCAATTTCTCCAGGAGATGATAGTTGATCCCAAAAGACATGTATTGAAACAAATATCAGTTTATTGATTGGGTAGAACTGCCCTCCAACTCACCAGTTCATCCATCCATTCATCCATCTATCCATCCATGCATACATACATCCAATTATTTATTCTTCCTTCATCATCATTAAGCATTTTTTGGTATCTTTCATGTGTCATTACAGCGCTGGGCATCAGGCATATAAAATTGAACAAGACCCAGTTCCTGCCTTTAAGAAACTTGTGGTCTAGTTAGGGAGACACACGGGTAAATAGAAAAGGGCACAGAAGGATGTTAGGAATTACTTGTGTATTAATTTCTCTATTCAATACCTACTTACTGCAATTATGAACCCCGTCCTCATGAGCTTACAGTTTAGTGACAGAGGCGAAGACAGATATCATGCTTTCTGGAACATGCCTCCAAGGTAGCCTCAAGGGCAAGAGAAGAATGGAAGAGGCATACCAGTTCTTAACTGTCTGGAGGTGATATACATCACTTCCTCTCACAGTACATCAGAATTGATCAATTGGGCCCAACCTAACTGAAAGGTAGACTGGAAAATATTGGGAACACCTAAGATATTTGGTGAGCACAAATTCTTTCTGCCATAGCAACCAATGTTTTCTGCCACTCCAAGTTAAGTCAAACAGCCTCTTCTTCATGGAATTTGAATATTAAGACAAATAATTCAAGAACAACAAGAACTGTATGATTTCATTCACATGTGAGATATAAAACAGAAAGCAACAAGCAAACAAACAAAGACTCAGGCTCAGACAACAGTATAGTGGTTACCAGAGGGAAGGGGTTTGGGAGGAGATACAAGAGGGTAGAGGTGGTCAAATACATGGTGATGGAAGGAGACTTGACTTTGGGTGATGCGCACACAATGCAATACACAGATGACGTATTGTAGAATTGTACACTGGAAACTTATAAAACCTTATTAACCAATGTCACTCCAATAACTTTAATAAAATTAAAAAATAATAATTCAAGGACAAAAATGGTAGGAGCTTCATCATTCCAATGGCAGTGCCTGAAAGGAATGCCCATTGGTTCCTATGCCCAGAGCTTTCCAGGTCCCAGTCCTTCCTGAGGACTTTGTTTAACTCTTTCTTTGATTCCTCAAGGCACTCGGTTTCTTTTTTATGCATTCTTTTATTGCTTGAGTTAACAGACATTGTTTTCTGTTGCTTGAAACCAAGTAAATTTAACAGCTACATATTTCTAAATCATTTTTGGAACACTGAACCTCAATGAAAAATGAGCAGTTCAAGTGCTGCCTACTGATCAACACTGCACTTTCTGAAGCATTGTTCTATTTATTTCAATGGTCATGTTTATGCAATCATTTGAATATGTATTTTGCATTTTGTCCACATTCTTACATAAAAATAAGTGAAACTGAAAACCCAAAGTACTGACACCTGCAATATGAGACAGAAATCATTTGATGAATTCAGAGGGACACATTTTTAGATTTTTGGCCTTAATAGATGCCCACAGAATTGAAAAAAAGAAACAAAAAGGAATGTATGTGGAATGCTGTAATTTCATCATTAAGGATAAAATCGAGAATGCAACATATGGTTAGTGATATCATAATATTCTCTAACTCCCTGGAAATAAAAACTTCTTATAATATGTGAGCCTTTTGTCCAACTTTGTGGCAAGTTTTTAAGAAAGTATATGTGGGCACTACCTACATGCCCTGAGCATCATGTCCTCCTCCTTCTGCCCTGCTTCCAGTAACTCTTTCTCAGTGGGTTGTTCATTTTAAAGCTAGAACCATTGTTCACGATCAACCTCTTCCGCAGTTTTTGGGCTGGCAGCTTCTTGTGTTGCTGAGCAGCCTATGAGAGGGCTGCACTGTATCAGGTGACCATTAGGTCCAATGAGCTGTGGTCAGTGAGATTAGGGGCAAGATTATGTGTTTCCCATCCCCCCCTTTGGTAATATAATATAAAAATGTGAAGCAAAGCAAAGTCACAAAACCTTTCAAGGGAGCTGTAGGTGTGTAGGCACATTGAGGTCTGGAGTCTTTAAAAGGCATGGGGTGCTGTCCTGTGAGATTCTGTTCTCTGTGTTTCCATTTTGTTGTGTGTCAGGGTGTGTTACAAGGGGACCAGGCTGTCTTAGGAGAGGCATATGGGAGCCCATTTTTCTGGGTGGCAGTTAGCCTACAGCGATGTGGTCAAAATGTTATCACTCAGGGTCCTGCTCTCCAGGGGATTTAGGTGGAGACACTGCTCTCGATGAGGGGAGGGTCCAAGTAGGTGTAGGGCAATGGTAGGCTGCTGGGCTTCCTTGACAAAGTACCCATCTGGGTAAGTGCCAACCACAAGGTTAGGTGAAGGGGCTGCTGTCACCCGCCTTAGCCCTCTACCCAGAGGAACCTGAAGCAGCCCTGTCTGAGCCTTATTGATGCCCCCTCCCCAAAATAGTGACGATTACTGCAGGCAGCTCATGGGAGATGAAAACTGAAGTCAGAGTTTTAAAGGGTGGCCAGCCACCTGGAGCATGATCACACCAATTTGCCTTTGCAGCTAAGGGTGACTCTGTATCATCTCATTGGGCCATTTGACCCTCCTTGTGAGATATCCAAGGCTTGTGTGTCCAAGGTTTAGTGAAGTGAGGGGACCTCACTTCTTGATGGAAGTGTGGGGTCTGGACCGGAAACGATACCCCTTCCCTTACTCCAGAGCTGGCCTGGCTCCCAGCTCCATAGTCACTCCCTCTCCAGGCTCTTTATTCAGTAATCAGAGGGTAATGATGATATCACATATGGCATTGACAGGTGGGAGGGTGGCTATGAACCCCTCCAGGCTTGTCTGGCTTTTGAAAGTGGATAGTGGCAGCTGCATGGTGGGTGGCAGGTTGGGCATCCAGGCACCAAAGTCAAATTGAAAGCCGCGAGGCCAGAGTGAGGCCTAGGAGCCAGGCCCCTTTCATACCACCACCCCTGGCACTGACCCTTCTCACCTGCCCTGCACTGATACCAGAGTGCTTGGCTGAATATCACCATGGTGATACAGTGCACCAAGGCTTCTCGAGTCTCCAGGGAGGAGGGCATACTTGCAGGGAAAGCTGGCCTGGGGTTGGGACTACCAGAGTTCTGAGGACCGTGCTGCAGAGGCCTAAGGGTGAGGCTGAGGTGCCTGTACCTGCACTCTCCAGGCCTAGGAAGCCCTCAGAGAAGATCTCCCACACCCAGGCCTAGAGTTTGCTGTCATCATGGATGGACACGTCACTAGGGTAATAGATGCTGGTTATTTTGGAGACAAAGCTTCAAAGTGCACCCAGTTTCTGTTCAGTCTCAGAACTTCAAATCGACCCTCTTTGAAGAGCTCCCTGCCCAGTGTTGTTAATGTTCAGCCCTCTTCGTTGAGAGTCTCCCTGGGCCCTCTCTCTCCTTTCCAGTCTTCCTGCCTCCCCCCAAGGCCCCAGTTCTTTGGGGACGGCCCCCTCACCACTCCACCTTATCCCAGATCTGCATTCCTGTAGTAGTAGCCTGAGATGTCTTCGACAATTCAGTTCCTGATATCCTTGGGCAGACACAGAATAGACTATTTCAGCTGTTCTATGTTCCTCTGTATCAGCTTGGAAAAGCCCCCAATGCCAAAGCCTGTGGACTAGGAGATAGGACTCCTGGGTACCAGAGCCCCTACCCCAGAAGCAGGAGGTAGTACTGGTGGGGGAGACAGATCCACTCCCAACCCAGAACCCCATATTCTTCGAAATGAAGGACTTGCCACTCCATCTTCCCTAAAGTAGCTCTTACCCTGTCCACTACCTAGCCAGGGGTGATGAGCAGTTTGCAGGCAAGCACGTTGATATGCAGGGTGCACCATATGTGTGGGATTAGCAGCTATAAAGGCTGGAAAGGACAAGCTAGGGGAGGCTTGTGTGTCTCTGGCCTCAGAGCAACCCCTAGAGAGGCACCTGATCATGTAAATCACTCATGAAAAGAGATGACAGGGACAAAAGAGGTAGACCAGGACAGAAAACAGGGCTCCAGGCCCAGTGACAGAGCCTTGGCTCCACCAGCATCTTGTTCTGTGATCTTAGGCCTGAGCCTTCCTTTCTCTGGGCATCAGATCATTGAGAAAATGGTGGGGGCAGGAGGGGGCCTGCTGATTTAAATGAACACCAGGGGCCTTCTAGCTTTGGGACCCTGTGATTTCTTAATCCCTAGGCAGGCAAAGCATTGTGACAATCAGAGCCTGAGGGTCTGGCAATGTGGAACTGTCCCCTGGAGCCTACCTCTGAGTGCCAGGCCCTGGAAGCTGCAGATGGTCAGAAAAAATCAGCCTGGGTTAAAAAGGGCAGAGTAGGGCCTGCAGTTGGGACCCAGGCTAGCTAAGCAAGAATCAGAACTGAGCAGCCATGGACTCGCTGTGGGGAAAAAACTGACCTTCACAGAGAAGATGCCTCAGGTACCTGGGGGAAATGACTCTGGACTATTTGAAGTTTGGCAGAGCCCAGGTACCTACAAAGCTTACCTTCAAGACATGAGTCCTTCTCAGGGCTCCCCTAACCCTGCAGAACACCCGTTGGTCCCTCGAAGCCATGTTCACTCCCTGGCATCTGCCAGCCCCAAGTTTCTCCTTTCTTAGAAGCTGGGCTTCTGTGATGGCTGTTGGTTGTTGGTCTGATCTTCCATAAGATGGGAACCTCTTTGGGGAACAACCTGCTTTCACAGGTGGCCCCCTCTCATGCCCCAGTCCCTGTTGACCTCACCTCAGCTCAGGGCCTGCTAGAAAGCAGGCTTCTAGGGGAATTGTGCATAGAGATGCAGGGGAAGCAGGATGGGGGCTCTGCACCCCAGCCTGGAAGGATAGGGCCATATATGGACAGGCTGCTTAGAAGAGGCGCTGCCAGAGGCAGACTAAGGCTCAAGGACCTGAAAGCTAAGGGCATAGTCTAGGCCATCTTGCTGACCCACTGACCTTGAAGAATAAGTGGCAGTGGGGCAGCTGGTGCAGCATAGCCATGGAAAAGACCTCAGGCAGCAGATAGTCACGCAACAGGTGTGTGAGTGCCTCATGGACAGAGAACTCTGCATTGCACACCCATGTCTTGGCCAGCAGCCAACCACTTCTCGTCAGTGGGCAAGAAGATGGGGCTGTTGGGCCCGGGGGTCTGGCTTAGCTGTAGGAGAGGTCAGTACGGAAAGAGGCATTCATGAGTGTCTGCCAACCACTCAGTTGGACTCTTCCCCACTCCTGCTATGCCTCACTCCCTGCCCAGCTGCTGACCTGGATGGCAAGGGGCAGCAGGGATCCACACATCCCGGGCATGGTATAGCAGGATCATTGGGTCTGCAGAGAATGGAGGCTTTCCATTAATGACATTGGTATGGATACCAGAGAGGATGCTATGATCCACCAGGAACAGAGAGCCCCTCTGAGAATGTGAGAAAAGGAGCCGTGGCTGCCATTCGGCTTTCTAAAAGATGGGGTGGGGAGTGTTCAGGGCCAGGAGAGGAGTATGCATGGGAAAGGGCACACAGCATATAATTGGTCCTCAGCAAATGTTAATACTATCCTTTCTAGCAGGGGATGGGCCTAAAAGTACTGCGATGGGGGTGTGCAGAGCCTGTGTAGGGAGCTAAAGCTCCCCAAATTCAAAAGAGTGCATGAATTGTCTCGGGAGGCCTGCTTGCATAAAAAAGAAAAGGCTGGTTCTGTGGAATTCCAGGAAGAAGAAGATTAAGTATAGCCTAAGGGAGTGTCGAAGGGAGTGTCAAAGGAAGTGTCAATTGTACCTGGATCTTCAGGATGTTACTTTTATTATGTTATTTTGGGATACACAAAGGAACAGATTGTGTTTAAAAGAAGGATAAGAAATAAACTCGGAGAGACAGTTGTGAGATCTGTTCTCCCTCCTGCACCCTGTCTGTCTTCTCTTTTTTCTCAGTCCCCGCTCCCCCATTCAGGTACCCGGTTTGACTTGGTCGGCTGGCTTCCGACAAGCCTGGACCCCTGAACCCTTCATCTTCAGCTCAGTCTGGAAGACTGGTCCTGAGGCCCAGCTTGGAGGCCACCGTGGTATCCCTGACAGTGATGGATCAGCATGGGGTTGAGGCCATTCAGGAACTGGGAGGCAAAAAAGTATCCTCCTACCAGTGCTCAAAAATGTACTCTGCAGGAGAGTAAGGGAGATGGGGACAGGGTCATCCCAGTCCCCAGGTCTCCCCCTGAATTTCACAGCAGAGTTGCTTCTGGGTTCATCCTAGGACCATTCTCTTCTCAGGGTGACCTCCTCTCACCCCTGGGCTTCAGCCACTCCCTAAGAGCAAATCTTAGCCCCTATCCCACCCATCACACTGAAAGTCAAGAAGCCTAAGAGGTCAATCTGGATGTTTGGTTTGGACCTTACTCACCTAGTAGAACATGAATTTTTTATTCTGGAAATTTTGAACAGTTTCTCCGGGAGAAAGTAAAATGTCAGTGGGAAAACTGGAAATCTTGTTCACATTGAATGCTTCAAAAATAAAATCACAGTTGTTTCTGAGAAATTGTTCTCAAAAAGATATTTGAAATATTTTACCAAGAAATACCTTAAGAAGGATAGTTTTCATGTTGGGCTTTATGTAGTTGCATCTAACAAGGAGACTTATGAACTTGTTACTTCAAATTAGTCAAGATAAAGCTTGGATCCAAGTCAGAGGGCTAGGTAAAGCCACCCTTTATAGGGTTTTGCTTACTAATAAGACAAAGGAAGCATCTAGAAATAGATTTCTAGTGTATTGGTGAATAAACAACGCTCTACTCTGTAATAAATAAATAAATAAATCAGCATGTAGGGTGATTTTTCTTCAGAACCACTGTCCTTGAACATTTGTTTACATTCTGACCAACAGCCCCAGATGATCTGAGCTGGCAGAGTCTTCTGAAAGTTGTCATCTAATCCTTCAAGATATAGTTGAAGAAATCAGAGCTCTGATTGGGAAAGGAAATTACTTGATATTTAAAAATGTCAGTTGGATCATCTGAACACCTTTATGATCTTCTCTTGCTTATCTTTACCTCTCCCTCTCTTTCCTTTTCTTCTTCCTTCCTGCCTTCCTTCCTTCCTTCCTTCCTTCCTTCCTTCCTTCCTTCCTTCCTTCCTTCCTTCCTTCCTTCTTCCCCTTTTTCTTTCTTTTAAATTCTAAAATATCGATCAAAGCTATAGATACACATGATTTAAAGAGACAAATAGTTCTATAAATTTTTCATCACCAACAGCTATTCCCTGCACCATTCCTGATGTTTCCTCCTCATCGAAGACAATAAGTTTTATCTATTTTAGTTGATAATCTTGGTATTTACTGCTGAAGAGGAATTTTCACTCAAAAGGCTAACCTTATAATCAGCTCTTTGTTCTGCTTCTGTAGATATGCTTGCCACACAGGCCCTGGGGCAGGGTGACCTCGAAATTGACTAGAGACTCATCCTGCCTTCTGCTTGTTTTGTCTAAACAACAAATGTAACTGCCTGTAACCCATAGCAATTCCCCTGCTTTGTAACTCTTTGTAACTGCCTGCAACACATAGCAACTCCTGTGCTTTGTAACCATCTGAGGACAAATTAACCAATCAGCCCATGCCAACTAAGCCCTATAAAAGCAAATTTGCACCTGAGCTCAGAGCCCAGATCTTCAGAGTGCTAGCTCCTCTGGGACTGCCCATGTAATAAACCTGAGTTCTCCAACTCTCTGAGTTGTATTTGGTTTCTCGCTGGTCTGATTTTTCTGCAACACTGCCACATCTCAAAATAGCATGCATGTATCATCTGTTTATTGATATTTCAGTTTTAGGCAGATACTGACTTCCTACTCTGGAAGACAGAATTGCATTAATTCTCTTTTCTAGCTTTGCTCCTGTTACACTTGGCAAACCTTTCACATCTATCCTTCTACTCAAGACTTTTTTTCATTAAGACTTTAGGCAAACCAGTACTCAGTGTTTGCGTGATTTTACGTACATGCTATTCCTAGGGGAACTTTAGAGTATACTGTAGTTATTTTTCCTTCCCTACAAAACCTTTTACTGTCTCTCTAGGTAATAATTACTTATTTATTATTATGATTTGTCTAGTTTTCTATATATTTTTATAAATTTAACCCAGAACTTCACCACTTGTCTAGATCCCTTCTCAGCATTTCAGACACATGGAATACTCCCAGGCTATCTCCAGTCTTCACTGCTCTCCCTCTAGCCTGCTACTTAGCTGTCATCTGGGCTCTTGCTTCCTCATTATCCTGGAGGTTCCTTTTCCCTCACTTCTGTGCTACAGCTCCTATGTCCTATACCCCATATTTTCTTCTTTCTTGGCTTATTTCCTCATTTTTGTGGTGCATGTCCCTCAAAAGCTACTCCAGAAAGGGTACATGGGAAGGAGAAGTTTTTAAGAGTCTGCATGTCTGGAAATGCCTATCATCTATCTACACACTTGAATGAAAGTTCGGAAATAATTTTTGTTTCAAATTTTGAATGCACTACTTCACTAGAAGTAGTGTTGCTATAAAGAAGCGTAAAGCCATTTGAATTCCTGATTGTTTCCACAGGACCTTATATTCACCCAGTTTTTAGAATCTGTAACTTCACAATTATGCACCATGGTAAAATTTCTTTTTATTAACTTACAGTGCTCTCAGGAGGCCCTTTCAGTCTTGAAACTCTTTTCCTTCACTATTGGATTGTTTCATGATTGTTCCCTTCTCTTTACTTTAACTATTGTCCCTTTTTTGAAATCCTATGATTTAGATATTGGATCTCCTGAACTGGTTCTCCATTTTCTTCTATTTTCTTTACTATTTTCCATCACTTTGCCTTTTGTTTTGTTTTCTAGTAGTTTTCCTTGACTTTCTCTTATAATCTTTTTATTGAATTTTTTATTTCTCCTATCATATTTTTAGTTTCAAGAGATTTTTTCTGTGTATATTTTTAAAAAGTGTTCTGTTCATATTTCAAGGGTATAATATTTTCTCATACTTCTCTGAGGGTTTTTTGTTTGTTTTTTAATTTTTATCTCAGGTTATTAATGACAAAGTATTTTGGATTTTTGTTTCTGATATTTATGGTATAGGCTGGTTTTGGTTATCTTTTGCACAGTAAACCACCCCAAATCAGAGTAACACAAAGAATCACTTATTTTTTAAATAATTTTGCAACTTGGGTAGGGCTCCATGTAATGACCAAAATGGGTTCAAGCTATATTCACCTGGGAGGAAGGCTGGGACTAGAACATTTATACTGGTTCCACTCACATGTCTGGAATGGCTGGCGTTGGCTGGGCCTTTCTCTATCCACATGGTCTCTCATCATTCACTAATCCTACCTTGGCTTCACTACATGGTGCCTGGATCTCAAGAAGACCAAAGCTATAATTGCCAGGCCTCTTAAGGCCTAGGCTAAGAGCTGGCATCAACACCAATTCTGATGCATTCCATTGGTCAAAGCAAGTCACAGGCCAGCCCAGGGTCAGTGTGGAAGGGAAAAATGGACCCTTGATAAAAAGAAGAGGAAAGAATTTGTGGACACATTTAATCTACCACAACACCATTAAAAAAAAAAATCCCTTTAATGCCATTTTAATAGGGCTTGGGGAGGAGGCAAAATCAATCTTTGTGTTAAATCTGGTTTTATCCAGAATAACTTAGAAGATCAACCTGTTGCTTTTCTCCATCTCTAATTTCCCACTGGTTTCATTTATAGCCCTCCATTCTATTACCTTTCATTGTTTTCTGTGTACTTCTGCTGAAGAAGGGTGTACTTTGAAGGAGCAATTTTGTGGGGAGTCATAAGAAGATAGAGCTATAGCAAAAAGAGGTGGGCCTTTGTAAAATATTTGCGTTCATTTTTGTTTTATTTTTTGTTCTCGTTTTTGTTTAAAATTTTTTTTTTGCTTATTTGTCTGTTTTCATTTGTTCTTATTTGATTTTTATTGTTTGTTCTAGTTTTTTTTTTTAATTTGAAAAATTATTTTAAAAAAAGTAGTGACCAGAAGGTAAGGGAGAGGAAATAATAAGGGTGATATATTCTTTTGATAAATTTTTCTGGGAAGGGGAGCAGAGAAATGGGGCAATAACAGGGAGTATGGGATCAAAGGAGAGTTTCTTCCAAGACAAGCAATTCTTCTTACAATGCTGACTTCACATTAGAATTTCTAAGGACATTTGAAAAAGCAATGCCCAGGTCTCTCCTCAGAGTCTGGGTATTGGGCCCAGGTAATTGGTACATTTTAAAGCCTCCTAAGTGATTCTAATGTGCAGCCACTGTTGGGACCCACTACCCCTAAAGCATGTTTATGTTGTTGGGGATGAAGGAGGGAAACTGATGCAGGAGAGACAAGTGCTAATCTCAAGTAAAATCCTGAGAAAGTGAAAGGGGTTGGACCCAGGGCCCAAGTGGGGACACTGGCCTCTCATGGGTGCAACAAGTAGGACCATAATTCTAACTCAAGTTTTTTTAGCAATATACTTGGCTATTGCAACTGAAGTATCTAGGGATAGAGTGTGTGATAGACACAACGAATTAGCTATCCAATATTTGTTCTCCCTTCTCCTTTTTTCATAGAACCTAAGTTTGTTCAGGGCAGGAAGATGGTCAGCCTTTGGTGCTAAATCCACACCACAACAATCAGGAGAAGAGAGGGAGTTTTTGTTTTGTTTTGCTTTGCTTTGTTTTCAGGTAGCACCTGTTGTCGAAGCCAAATATGACAATTTTATTCTCTGCCTCCTCAGCCTTGTGATTGCAATGTGGCTGCTCCAGATATGACTAAAACCTACTGTCTGTCCATTTCTTCTTTCTGCCTTCTGCAGAGTTGGCTTCATCCCTGGGATCCATGCGGTACTGCTATTCCAGACCTCACATCCTAACACCACACCAACCAGAAGAAGAGAGGGAGTTTTATTTTGTTTTGTTTGTTTTGTTTTCAGGTAGCATCTGTGAAAGAGAGCTGATGCTTCTCTTTCCCCAAACCCTGGCAAATGTCTTCCCATTTCTTCCTCGTTCATTGCTCTAGATGGATTACACTGCAATCCCTAACCAACCAATGTGGCCCGTGGATAGGACACAGTGGGTGACTTAAGCCAACCAAGGTATATCCCTGGAGTTGGAGATGGGGTCATTTCCACTCCAATGACACAGTTGACAATGGGAATGGATGGTTTCCTGAGGGAAACATGAGGGGCTGGTACTGGAAGGAGGGGAAATGAAGACTAGGCTGCAAAGCACAGCAGAGCAGGGACACGCCTTCCATTGTAAAAGACAGGGGTTAGGGCTGATGGGTGCAGTCACAGAAGGGTCCATTGTCTGGGTAGAAGATAATGTGGGAGCTCCTTCATGGTTATTTCGCTTTGTCACTGAGATATGAATAAAGTCATCAGTGAAAAGGGATGTGGGAATTCTTCTGTGTTAGGTCCTGCACTGGATGCTGGGGACGAAAGGATAAACAAAACAAAGTCTTTACTCTCCAGCAGTTCCTGATTTTATGGGAAAACCCCGGGGCCCAAGGGAGCCTAAAGAAGGGTATATGGATGGCAGTGCCTGTGCCCCTTATTCTGGTGATAACATCCACATTTTCATGTAGGGAATAATCCCTTGCCCATTGTCAGCCGACATGGATACAGTGGAGCTGACTTTACCTTCTGGCTCCAGAGGCAGGCATATGGTCCAGTTCTGCCCAAACAGATTTGGGCAGTGCTTGGGAACTGATTCAGTAAAGAATAGGTCGTCTTGTCCAGGCCAGTAAGAATCAGCCCTGGGATAAGGAATGTAGTCAGCAGTAATATAATGGCTATGTGTAGAGCCAGAGGGGCATTTAGGTTGCTTCCATATCTTGGCTATTGTGAACAACACTGCTGTGAACATAGGGGTGCATATATCTTTATGCATTAGCGTTTTGGTTTTCTTTGAATAAATACCTAGAAGTGCAATTGCTGGGTTAAAAGGTATATCCATTTTTAACTTTCTGAGGAACCTCCAGACTGTTTTCCATAGTGGCTGTACCAATTTGCAATCCCACCAACAGTGTATTAGGGTCCCCTTCCCCCACATGCTTGACAACACTTATTTTTTGATTTACTGATGATAGCCATTCTGACAGGTGTGAGGTGATATCTCATCATGGTTTTAATTTACATTTTTCTGATGACTGGTGACCTTGAGCATCTTTTCATATATCTATTTGCTGGCCATTTTTGTAACCATTTTGGGGTAGCATGCTTGAAAATGAAGACAATACAGAGGAAACCATAGCTGAGTAATAGGGATCTCTCATATGTCACCTGGATACGGGTGCCTGCAGTGAAATGTAATACACATGGCCTTTTTGGTTACATAAGCCAAAAGGTTTTTTAAAAAAGGAAATTGAATTCTTAATAGAAGAATCCTGATTAGTACAGCGATCCATCTCAGACATGGGAGTGGAACATATCAGAGGAAGCTTCCTTCAGGTAAGAATGCTCATACTGAGTTTTGTAGGGTTAGCAAGAGTTAGTCAGATGGAGGTGACGTAAGTGCTCTGTAAATCCCACTTGCCACCATATCTGTGGATTTGATTTGTGAACTGAGAACATCAGATTCCTCTCTCTCTTCTGTCTCACTCATCCTCACATCTTCCACTTCTTGCTTCCCTGTCATACATCCCACTAAATAGATCACTTAGGCAAAATCAATCTTGTCAGGTATTTATTCAGCAAGTATATCTTAGGAGGCTACTCCAGGTAATGCACTAAATTGGGCATCACATGGGAAGGGAAGGATGAGTGACAAGGTTAGAGAGCAGACATGGCAAGCATTCAGCCCTTTTCCATTCCACACCCACAGCAGACATTATTAACTCATTAGTTATTAACTCATTATTATTAATGAGTTAATAATGTGTTTTTAATTATATATTATTAATAATGAATTAATAATGTGTTTTTCTTCTTGAGCCCAGATGTGGCCTCAAAATCTTTGTCATCATAGCACCCTGGACAGGCACAACCAATGGATTGGAATTGGCATTTAAGATGAAACCTACTGTGATCCTCGGGGTAAGCTGTGGCCCAGGGCAATGTGGATCCAAAATAGAAGAGAGACAGGACTGAATTACTCTAGAGACTGGGGAGATTGAGTTAATTAGGACTCTTTTATTTGTAAGTAACAGACATCCACAAGAGAGAACTTGAGCAAAAAGGAGACTTTATTATGAAGACATAAGGCCAGGGATACAATTGGGCCTCAGAGATAACCTCAGGGCAGAGACTGGAGCATTGTAGGAACTAAAGAAATTCTCAGTCTCTCTCCCTCTCTTTTCTCTCTCTCTCTCTCTTTCTTCCTCAAGCAATTCTTCCTGTTTCCAAGTCCATATGCAGAGATAGCTGCCACAGAGTTCATAATGTCTATATATTCTTTATCTAAAAGAGTAAATAGGTTTCGAAGTGTCTTGGTCCAAATTCCAAGTTCCCCAGCAAAGGGTTTTCATTGACCCAGTTTGGGACAGGGACCCACTCCTGATCCAATTACCCCTGTTTGGGAGGAAAGGGCCACACAAAATGCCACGTTGGCTGTGTCCACATAACCATGTTGATGACACTGATGAGCTGTGGAGTAGTGAGGATTTTTCAGAAGTGTGTAGGGAGGTCATTTCTGGGCAATATAAAACCCTAAACAATAAATATCCCCTGTATAATTCAAGAGAGACTTCTTTAAGGAGGTGAGTTTTCAACTAGTTATAAAAAATTTTGTCTATGGCCATGCCACTCTGAACAAGCCCAATCCTGGAAGCTAAGCAGGGTCAGGCCTGGTTAGTACTTGGATGGGAGACTACCTAGAAAGGCCAAGTGATGTAGGAGTAAAAATAAAAATAAAAAATAAAGGATTGTAAGCTGATTGCAATCTGTGAGGTCAACCAAGGGTTGCCTTGCCTAAAAAAGAAAAAAAACATACAATTTTAATAGGCAGAGCTGAACAAATAAGATATTTTACACTGTTAGATAGGACAGGAATCTCAAGGTCTGGGCAGCTCTTACTAAATGCTGTTCTTGCTAAATGTTAAAATGTAGCACAGTATTTTGCAGATACAGCTGTAAACAGGATGAGCTTAACAGGACAACCTATAAGTGTATCCAACTCTAAAGAAGAAATCAACATGTAATTAATCAAACTGTGTGTATAAGCAATGGCTAAGCCTTACTTCGGGGAGACAGAGATTTGGATGTGAATCTCCTGTCTCCTTTACTCGCTGCAAGTAAATAAAACTACTTAATGACAGCCACATCTTGTTCTTGAATGGAACACCCCAAGCAGTGAACTCCTTGAGTTCAGTAACAAAACTAGTTTGATAAAATATGAAAATATATTGGCTTAAATAATTGGAAAGTTTGGAAGTAACTGACCTCAGGCCTAGATAGATTCAAATGACCAAAACATGTGTCAGGAATTGCTCTTCCTCAATATTTCATTTCTGATTTCTTCTGTGTTGAATTGTGTTGACTCGTTCTCAGGCAGACTCTCTCCAAGTGGTAGTAGATATGGTTACAGCAGCTCTGAGCTTCTATCCTGCCAGCTTAGCTGAAGAGGAATTTTCACTCAAAAGGCTAACCTTATAATCAGCTCTTTGTTCTGCTTCTGTAGATATGCTTGCCACACAGGCCCTGGGGCAGGGTGACCTCAAAATTAACTAAAGACTCATCCTCCCTTCTGCTTGTTCTGTCTAAACAACAAATGTAACTGTCTATAACCCATAGCAACTCCTGCACTTTGTAACTCCTTGTAATTGCCTGCAACCATAGCAACTCCTGTGCTTTGTAACCACTGAGGACAAATTAACCAATCAGCCCATGCCAACTAAGCCCTATAAAAGCAAAGTTGCACCTGAGCTTGGGGCCCAGATCTTTGGCCTCAGGTAATAAACCTGAGTTCTCCAACTCTCTGAGTGCTACTTGGTTTCTCATCAGTCTGATTTTTGCAACATCTCTGCAACATAGCAACCCCCAAAGATCATGTCTCCCTTTTACTAATCCTAGCAAATGTCCTGGGGCTGACATGGAGAGGCTATGTGAAAGCACTCTGGTCAACAATCCCAGCTGAGTGCAGCCTTTGAGTAATCCCAGCTCAGCTATCTGTTGTTTCAGTGAAGAAATCTCCAATGATTCCAACTCTAAGACATCTGAGCCACCCTCAGCCATTCCAGTGCTCCCAGATGACAGCCCAAGCATCAGGGATCTGAGACAAGCATCCCAACTCTGCTCTGGAGGAATTCTTGACCCACAGAAGCATAATAAAATGGTTGTTGTTTTATATATTTTTTAAAAGTCCTGGAGCTGACTCCCATTAAACTGGCCTTGATCACGTACTTTGAAGCAGGAGATGGAGTTAGCCCCATACAAACTACACAGACTGAGGCTGGGATGGGTGGATCCCCAAAGAAAAATCAGCTGTAGTTACTAAAAAAAGCAGTCAAAAACAACATGTATCTACTCCACCTTTTCTGGGAAGAGTTCCTTTCAGAAACCACTTGTCAGTGGGTTGCTGACCTGACTTATTTAAAAACTTTCAGCAAAGATTTAGAGGTCTTCCTAAATGGAGTGACTTCTTCTGGCTATCCATTACTGGATAGCAAACTACACTAGAACCTACAGGCTTAAAACAACAGCCATTTTATTATACCGCATGATTTACAGGACAGGAATTTGGGCAGGGCTCTGCTCAGTGATTCTCTTATTTCATGTGGTACTGACAAAGATTCTTGTTGATATTCAGAGTATATGTGTTGCAGAAAAGTTGCAAAAATCAGACCAGGAGAAACTAAGCACTGGGAGAGTTGGAGAACTCAGGTTTATTATGCCAGCGGTCCC